GCGGTTGGCGCAGGATAGAGCCGGGTTTAGAGCTGTTGTGCATAGGGTCGCTATGAGTCGGAAATGACTCGATGGCACATAACAACAACAGCAGTGGTCTTGAATTGAAGCTGCACACCTTCTAGTTCAGTTAGAAGATATTTTTCCTAACGTTTTCTGCCCTCTGGACTGCAAGTTGTTTGCCAAATGAGCCCAGTGTGGGTGGCTGGCTGAACTTTGAGGTTCCACCCAACTTCGCTTCCTTGGCTGGCCGTTATATTTCCCTATTGTCTCTGGAAGTGGACTCAGGGTTCAGGTTCTGGAACGAGACTCAGTGTTCAGGTTACCTATAGGAAAGGGAGAAAATCTAGGGAAAAGAAACTTGTGAGTTGCAAAAAAAAAAGGGGGGGGCTTTGGAGGTGTTGCTTTCAGGTGTACTGGAGAAGGAGATGGAGGACTTTCAGGTGTACTGGAGAAGGAGATGGAGGAAATTGGCTTAAATAAAGTTCTCCATACACACCAGGCAGCTCTCCTCAGGGGCCAGGCAGCTCATTTTCCCATTAATTTATAAGTTCAACAATCCTTTATTCATATAGGCATCCCTAGTGACATGTTGGGCTGCTAACTTTATGATCAGGAGTTCAAATCTACAAGCCACTCCACAGGATGGCAATATCCCACCACAGGGATTTACAGCCTCAGAAATTTAATGCAGGGTTGCTATGAGTCAGATCCAACCTGACAGCAGTGGGTTTATTAATTTAAATGTGTGCTTTTTTTTTACTAATCATTTTAAATGATTGTAATATCTGATCAGTTCTCTCATTAACAATGAATTCATTAAAAATTTAACTCGTGTTGATTTTATATTTGTATGAGAGTGATGTGAGAGTCATAGGGAGATCTGGTGGCTTAGTGATAAGTAATTGTGCTGCCAACGCAAAGGTACACAGTTCGGATCCATCAGTTGCTTCATGAAATAAAGATGGGCAATCCTCTCCGATGTGATTTACTGCCTCTTAAAACCCACTGGAGGGTCAGCTTTGAATCAGTTCCGACTCCACAGCACACAACAACAACAAACAGTGAGAGTCATAATTAATAGCTTTAAGATGCTTTCCAGGCTTCTTATGCAGAAGCTGTAGTGAACATTGGTTTCCATTTACTGGCTCTCGATCTTGAACAAGGTAATTAACCACCCTACATCAGAATCCACCCATGGGCTAGAATAAGGAGGTCTTTTTTTTTTTTTCTTTTTTTTTCTGCGTGACTTAATTAACTGCTATGCATCAAAAAGCTGGACAAGAAATGAGGATGACAGAAGAAGAATCGATGCCTTTAAGTTGTGGTGCTGGAGAAGAGAACTGAATATTTCACAGACTGCCAAGAGAACAAATAGATACATCTTGGAGAGGGTGCAGCCAGAATGCTCCTTAGAAGCAAGAATGATGAAGCTTCATCATACTTTGGACATGTTTCTAGGCGAGGCTGCTCCTGGGAAAGGGGCATCATGCTTGGAAAGATAGATCAGCGAAGATGTATTGACATTGTGACTTCAATAATGGGCTATATAGTGTCTCAGAAATTATGAGGATGGGGGAACTCTGGTGGCCTGGTGACAAGACGCTGCACTGCTATCTCAGAGGTACGCAGTTCGAATCCACCAGATGCTCTGCAAGATCAGTTGATGGCAAGAAATTATGACGGACATTCCCCGCCAGGGGCGTCGGGTGAGGGGCGCGGGGAGGCAGCCCGGCGCATGCGTGCGCCCAGCATCTAGCGTTCCCAGGATCTGTAGGGGCATGAGGCTCTTCACCGCTGGTGGCGCCTTTCACTTTGCAGCCATGTCTGTAACTGTCGAGCGGGAGTTGGAGGAGCTGGAAGCTCAGAATTGCTGGCAGCATCTGTACTTGATGATCACTGTCGGGTTAAGATGCAGAATACTGAAAATTACTATATTAATGCCAGTTTAGTGGACATAGAAGAGTCTCAGAGGAGTTACATCTTAACACACGGTCCACTTCCTAATGTGTGTTGTACTTTCTGGCTCATGGTTTGGCAGCAAAAGACCAAAGCAGTTGTCATGCTAAACCGAGTCATGGAGAAAGAATCAGTTAAATGTGCACAGTACTGGCCAACAAAAAATGACCAAGAGATGCTGTTTAGAGAAACAGGATTCAATGTGAAGTTCTTATCAGAAGATGTGAAATCATACTATACAGTACATGTGCTACCATATCAGTAGTGGTGAAACCAGAACAATATCTCACTTTCATTATACCACCTGATCAGATTTTGGAGTCCCCGAATCACCAGCTTCATTCCTCAATTTCTTATTTAAAATGAGAGAATCTGGCTCCTTGAACCCTGAGCCCGGGCCCTAGCAGTGCGATCTGGCACTTTTTCCTTAGTAGATGCCTGTCTTATTTTGATGGAAAAAGGAATGATATTAACATTAAACAAATGTTCCTGAATATGAGAAAGTATTGAATGGGACTTATTCAGACACCAGATCAACTGAGATTCTCATATATGTCTATAATAAAAGGAGCCAAGTATATAAAGGGAGATTAAAATATACAGAAACTATGGACATAACTTTCTAAAGAAGATTTGTCTCCTGCTTTTGATCATTCACCAACCAAAATAATGACTGAAAAATACAGTGGGAACAAAATAGGCTTAGAAGAAGGAAAATTTATGAGTGACCAGTGTACAGGATTGCCCTTTGTAAAATGCAAGATACAGTAGAGGAAAAGAGTGAGAGTATTCTCCGGAAATGTATCTGAGAAGACAGAAAAGCTAACATGGCTCAGAAGGTGCAACAGATGAGACAGAGGCTAAATGAGACTGAACCAAAAAGAAAAGATGGTTATATTGGTAACCTATTCTTGCTAAGATTGCATTTGTGTCAGTCCTTTTGGTTGCCTCCTGTTTTGGCTGGACATGTTTTTTTCAGCAGAATGTCCTACAAGGAATTAATTTTGCCCAGCAGACTTCTCTACTTATAGCTGACAGTGCTACATTAATCACTTAGATTTTTTTTAAAATTTTATTAGTTTTAAGGAACATTTACAGAGATTTTGGGTTTTCACTAATCACTTAGATTTGTCTGTTAGCAACAAACTCCTCATATGCCAAAACTGATGTGCTAGACTAGATAGCATCTAGATAAGTACTGTTCACAATCCCAGCATCTCAGGTCAAGTTTCTCTGAATTCCAAACTGTAAACAGCTATATAAAATAAAGACATTAACGTTTGTTGAAAACTGGTACATCTTGCAGCTGTATTCATACATGTTAAATGTGGCATTTCACTCTGCCACATTGGGAATCTTCTATAAAAAGGATTTATAGTTTTGGAGACTACCTGAATTTTAACCTGCACTTGATAGAAGCAATAAATATTGTGGGGTTTTTTTGTTATTAATGGAAAGACATTTACCTTTAAATGGTGTGTATGATATATTTTACATTCTTAATCACATCAGGATAAATATATTTTATAGCTACCTAATTTCATTTTACTTTTGTAGTTAATTTCATTTTAAAGTCCAACTTGAAAGCTCTAAATTTTATGTGGATTTAATTGTATTGGATAAAACTTCCATTTCCTAAAGAGAAGTTTGATACAAGCAATTAAAAATCCAAATAAGTAGTCTTTACTATATTTTTGTATTTCTTTTATGTTTACAGTTTACACAGTTTTACAAAGTGAAAGTTTTCATTTAAAAATGTATTATTATTATTTTAAAAAATAAATTATGGGGATAAAATTAGTATATCTATGGAAAAGAATCATACAAACCAGAAAGTGTTAAGTATATGCAGAATCTTTACCCTTTTCTCATCCATATAAACACTTACCATCTAGATGAATGGGATCTTCTAAGACTCAAATTCCTATGCACATCCAAAAACTTCTCCAACAGGGTAAAAAGGGAAGTCACAGACTGGGAAAAAGTGTTTGGTAATGACATATCAGATAAGGGACGAATATCCAGAATTTATGAAATACTTGAGCACCACAACAAGATAAAGGTAAAGAATCCAGTAGAAAAATGGGCACAGGATATGAACAGGCACTTCACCGAAGACGACATTCAGATGGCTAACAAGCACATGAAGAAATGTTCAAAATCCTGAGCTCTAAGAGAGATGCAAATGAAAACAACTGAGACATCATCTCACCCCAGTCAAAATAGCAAAATTTAACAGAACAGCAAGCAACAAATGCCTGCAAAGTTGTGGAGAACCTGGAACCCTTATTCACTGTTGGTGGGAGTGTAAAATGGTGCAACCGCTACTCTCATGCTTCTCTAAACTCATATAGTACTTAGATGAGTTTATACGAGCAATATCATACCAATCATTATTTATCCCCCTCCAGTGCTTTCAAGTTGCCAATTGGAGAAACATCTCCAGATATGTCTTGGACAATGACTGAAGATGACAGAAGTTGAGTTGTGGTACTGGAGAATAGGTCACGGACTGCCAAAAGAACAAACAGATATGTCTTGGAAAAGGTACAATCCTTGGATGATGAAGCTTTGTCTCACATATTTTTGGCATGTTGCTAAGAGAAGCTATGTCTTGGAGAGGGACATTATTCTTGGAAAGGTAAAGGGGCCAGCCAAAATGAGGAAGACCCTCAACCAGACGGATTGACAGAATGACTGTATCAATGTACTCAAGTATGTCAGAAATTATGAAGATGGCACAGGAGAGGAGAGGGTTCAAGTCTGTTGCGCATAGGTTTGCTATGAGTCACTCTATTCATTGGCACCTAAAAATAACATTGAAGAAAAGACTTAAGATGTTAATTATTTCCTTTTTCTTGAATCTACAATCAGCACTCCTGGTAACAACAGTCAATAAATTTAAAAAAAAGTTGTATTGAGAAAATATAGTGTCTAGGACTTCGCCAATATGATAAAGAGCAATGATATCAGTTTAAAGACTAAGGTGAACCTGCTCGAAGTAATGGTATTTTTTATTGCTTCCTACACCAGCTGGGAGTTGAAAAATGAATAAGAATGGCAGAAGAATTAATGTCTTTGAATTGTGGTGTCATTAAAAAATAACATAATATTTCGTGAACTGCCAAAAGTACAAACAAGTCTGTTCTGGAGGAAGTACAACCAGTTGTTGTTGTTGTTGTTGTTGTTACGTGCCATCGAGTCGCTTGCGGCTCATAGTGACCCTATGTACAACAGCCCTAAACCCTGCTCTATCCTGTGCCAATCGCACCATCTCCGACACACCCATCCCGATTACCCCAGTCACTGAATCAATCCACCACATAGGGGGCCTTGCCCTTCTGCATGCGCTGTCCCTCTGTTTATATCCAGATAAGGCATATTATCTTCTAGGACAACATCTCAGCCTGAAGGCACTTCCTCTCCCACCCATCCCCACCGCTGGCATATGGAAAGCTATACTTATCTAACAAAATGAGGTGTTTGGTTTGTTTTTTTGTTTTTTTTTTTTTTACAAAATACCTTTGAAGATACATGGCCAAGATAAATTTTATCTTGGCTGTTTAGAATAGATATTTCACTGAATATTAAACATGCCTGGCATTGTTACAGTATTTTCCAGAAATTCTTTCCTAAATTAGAATCAATAAATATTAGTGTGGAAAGAAGAACCTAAATATTAATTAATTATTTTAATTCATGGATGAAATACTTAGAGCCACTGTTCTTCAAATCACATTTTTTTTTTTTTTTTGGATTTAGAACTTTTTCAAAGCTTCAAGAATTGCCGGCATCCTCACATTTTGCTTAATTCCTTGTACTTCTAACCCCTTCTTCGTGTCAACAGGCTTTGATCTTTTTAGAAATAGTATTTTATTGTTTTTTCAGTGAAGATTGACATATCTATTTACATTCCTGTTTAATAAAGTTTGTTGTTATTGTTGTTGTTACGTGTCATCAATGGTTACATTCTTCACATTCCCATTATTTCTGTTCTGGTTGTTTTGTTTACTTTAATAGTTTCTCTGTCTCTTTATACTTTCACCTTTTTAGTAGGGAACTTTAATGGCATCGTGGATAAGGAGTTATATTGCCAAACCAAAGGCAGGCAGATCAAATCCACTGGTTGTGTAGGTTCCCACTGACAATAGTGAGTTATTTTGTTTGGTTTTGTTTTTACATAATTGTTGACTATTTGGTTTCATAGATGTAATTCTTGTTTTTCAACTTTATACTGTGGCTTGAGCAGAGGTTTTTGGTTGTTGTTTTTTTTTTTTACATTGTTAAGGATTTAATTTTACTTGGATTCACAAGCAACATCCATGAAACTAGCAGCCAAGAAATAAAAAAATGTATTATAACAGCAAATCTGCTATCAAGGGCCTTTTCAAAATGCTGACAAACAAGGATGTTAGTTTAAAGACTAAAGTCTACCTGACGCAAGTTATGTGGTTTCTTTTGTTTTAGATTTCTTGTAGCATTTTCTTAAAAAAAATTAAGCTATTTTTAATTGTTCATGTTGTTGCTGTTGTTGTTATGCGCCATTGAGTCACTTGTGACTCATAATGACCCTATGTACAAGAGCTCTAAATGCTGTTCTATCCTGTGCCAACCTAGCCATCTCAAACACACTTATTCCCACCGCTCCAGTCACAGAATCAATCCATCTCATTGAAGGTCTTCCTTTCCTTCGCTGCCCCTCCACTCTGCCAAACATGATGTCCCTCTCCAAGGACCAGTCCTTCCTTGCCACATGCCCAAAGTATGTCAGGCTAAGCTTCAGAACCCTTGACTCCAAGGAGCATTGCGGCTTCAACCCTCTCCAGGTCAAACTTGTTCTTCTAGCAGTTTATGGTATATTCAACACTCATCCCCAGCACCACAGCTCAAAGGCATCAATTTTCTTTCATTATTATTATTATTATTATTATTATTATTATTATTAAATTTTAT